GCCAGTGGGGAGAAATTCGCCCTCTGCCCCCAACACCTAACCAAGGACGAGCCAAGGTGGGCGGGGCGGGAGGAGAAACCGTGTTGGAGTCGCGCGTCATCTGAGTGCCATCCCAGCTCTCCGGTTCCGGACGGGCCCAGAGGTGGCCTGAGCTCAGCACGTTCTTCCACAGAACTAACCTCACGTGAAAGCGAAGCTGTCTATCCTCCAGGGGACTGCGGACTTCCACTGACACCATCCAACTGGCGAGCTGGGACCAGTGGAAGCCCTGTGCCTGCGGGGCGCCCGCAGCAGCCGGGAACGCACAGGTAGCAGCCGGAGCCGCCGGGCCTCACTGGCCGGGACAGGGAGCCCAGGAGTCACAGACTCCTGAACCCCAAACTCGAACTCGGAATGAAAGTATCTCCGCCACGTCCATCTCCGTGGTTAAGAACTTATAATCGAAATAATCGGCTGGTTTACATTGAAGGGGAAGGCATTAGCATTTAGTTTAGCGAAGTAGAAACAGTATGATTTGTGGAAGGCAATTAGGAATCATTTGCTCCGTGGATACAAGTAATTTGTTTGAAGAGCGCTGGCCTGGGAGAGAGCTAGCTGGAGCCGGCTGTGGTCGAGGGTGCCACTGCCTCTACTGTGTGTCACCGTGCTGCGGACAGAATCACATCTGAACACTCACAAAAGAGCTTTAAAACACTTCAGGAACGCCGGCGCCCTTCAAGGGGTGAGGTGAAGTGTGGGTTAGGTGGCAGAAGGCTGCGAGAGGATACGGTGGCCCCGAGCGAGCCCACAGACACCCCCCCTTGGTGCGGGGCAGCTCCCGAGGACAGGGCAGTCACCTCCTTGACATGTCGCCAGTTTTAAGGCACAACGGGATTTAAAAGAAACAAACAAACCATAAACGCTGTATCAGGAAGAACACAAACTGTTAGCAGCTACTGGTTGAGTAACGATTCCATGACTGAAATTGAATGCACGTCTTCGTGCAGAAAATGACCATTTTTATGTCCCTGTGTAGTCAATGCTTTGCAGACCTGAGACCGGCCCCAGCTCTGTCCGTGCCGCTCTGGGCCTGGGCACCATCACTGCCAGCATCTTGTTTAGTAACTGGGTTGGCTGGGCCCGGGGCAGACAGCATGTTGATTTCTGGTAATTGGTGATATAATTCCTTTAATTGAGCAAAAGAAATCTCTAAACTGAGGGTGGGTCAACCACACGTTTGGGTGCAAGAGGTCAACAGGAAGAGCCCTTTGGCTGCGTCCTGGTGTCCCGCAGAGCCACGCTGGGACTCAGGCCACCACCGAGCAGCTCCAGCTTTTTTGTGTAATAGGAAAACCCTTCTGCCAAATGGACGTGTTAGGAAATCAGGGACACTCGCATCTGTGCGTGAACACCTCACACTTGGAATATGGTCTGTAGAAGCAGTTTTCGCTCAAACGTAATTTCAATTAGAAGCATACAAATTCCAATTTGTCTTAATCAAGTAACACCGCAATGCTTACATGATAATTAAAAACTAATTTCTTTTATTGCTCTTAACAATTTGACGTCTTTCTACTGGTGAAATCACGAATGTGAAACTGTTCCATCTGCCCATACCACTGAGTTCCTCAGGTAGGATGTTCCGGGACTATTCTAATCATTATTAAACAAGCAAATGATACACTATGAGGCAAATATTAAAACAAGCGCTGCACTCCGTTATTAACGCGCACGGCTCACCTTTAAATGCAGCAAATATCTCGTTAATTTAATTTTAGGCGCCCCCCCGTTCATATTGCGTTTTACGGTCTAGAAGGCAATTTACTATTAACTAGCAATTACATACAGGGCGATTGTTAATTCTGCTCCTAAGTGCTAGCCGCTTGAAAACTGTTCTCTCTCTCTAATTTCTGACCTTCTTACAACAGGGGTGAGGCACGCTGGGAATACAAAGGACTAGTACGGAAGAGCTGGACATGTCATTGTGACTCCTTCTTTTAATTCACCGTGCTAATCAACTGCACTGCCACTGCTTCCCAAGGTAATTGTGTCTTTACAGTAGTTGAAAGCAGCAGGCACAGGGGCCTGGATGGATGGGCTTGGCCTGCCCCCCCCCTGCCTACACCCGCTCTGGGTTGACTAATCGGGTCTGGTTCTGAAGCATCGGGTGCTTCTCAGATCGCTGTAAACAGATCACTTAGGCCTTTGCCTTTGGCTGGGGGCAGGGGGAGGGGCCCTCCTCAGCACTCTGGTTCCCCATCCCCAGGCCTGGCGGCCTCACCCCGAGGGTTCAGTGTGACGGTGTCCGCGCAGCCTCCAGGCCCGGGGATGCTGATGGGAGCCAGATGCCCAGGGGACGGGGCCCTCCCCGCAGGGGCTGCGCCCGTGTCCTGCCTCCAGAAGGGCTGGCTCAGCTTTCAGAGAGAGAGCAATTCCCAGTGATTGCTTCTCTGTCCCATCAATTTCAGGGCAATGCAAATCAGACAGAAGCTTCCAGGTCAGACAGGTTATGACCCCACCTTTCCTCTGCTCTCTGGGAGTGTAGGCCCCCGTATCCCTTACGTGCGTTTGAAATGTATATTCCCGTTAATGATGGGGGTGTGGGGGAAGGCTGTAAATTAGCCCCCGCGGAGAGGCCAAGCTCACTGAATGGCTTCATTGAAAGGCCCATTCGTGGGAGAACTCCTGATGGAGGAAACCCCATAGCCTTGGGCAACCGGGACCCTGAACTTGGGGTCTGAGAAGCCCCTTCAGCAGGGAGGGGTCACGGCGTCGGCTGCAGAAATGGAAGATGGGCGTCGGGACGCGGGTGTCACTGGAACAGACTCGGGGACACCCGCTGCCCTGCGGCCACGAGGCCTCCGGCCAAGAAAAGCGTCCTGCCCGGCCGAGGGCAGCGGGCTACAGAGAGCACTGCCCCACCGCGGCCCCAGAGAGGCAGGCCCTCGGCCACGGGACACCCACTGGCGGCGACGGGCGGCCCTCTGCCCTCGCGCCTCCCCCTCCAGCCGCACCCGCGTCCGCCGCGATGCTCAGCATGGGGCCCTTTCCTGCCATGCGGGCCACCGTCCTCAGTGGCCAACGGTGGGGTGAAGAACCAGACCTTCCTGCTACTGTGTCTCCTCTCAGAAAGAGTCGCTGCTGCTGACGACGGCCCGCCAACCTCAGCACCAAAAGCCCGCGGGTCAAGAACCGGATGTCAGGGGCAGGGCCGGAGGCGCCCGCGGGGGAGCGGCCAGGAGACCAGAGAGGCTGACAGGGACAGCCAACTCCCCGTCCATCTGGGGCAGAGCCATCGGTCCCACCACGTACGGACGTGCTCACCGGGTGCCTGACCCAACCTGGCGCCCACGGGGCACGTGGCAGCGTGGAGCCCACACGTGGTGTGGCTCCCAGCCGCCCAGCTCATAAACATCCCCTCCTCCGAGGAACCCAGACCCGACGGGAGCCCAGGTCACACACGGCACCGAGGAGAAAGCGGGACTCGGGGGTCCCCCCAGGTCCCTGGGCCACACCGGGCGGAGCAGAGCGGGGCGCCCAGGACCCCACGGCCTGAGTTCACAGCCAGAGCCGGACGGGCGCCCACAGGCCGGCAGGGGCGCTGCAGAGACGGCCCAGCGCTGCGGGGAGCCTGGCCCCCACCTCCCGGGACCTGGCGGCCGCGGGTACAAGCGCTCACAAGCACCCCAACTACACAGCCCGCTTCCGCACGGCGGTTATTTAACACGTGGAGGCCGCACCAGCAGGAGGCGCCGCCCTCCCTCCATCTCGCCTCCCGGGCTCACCAGGAGGCGAGCTGGTCCCACGGGAGGAAACGGCCCTTAGCACAGGCAGGGAACCTCTCTCCCCTCCTGACCACGTGAGGGCCGCTGGGGGCTGGAGAGGAGGCGGCCTCCCCCCATCAAGGACCCCGGTGTCACTGGCAGCCCTGGCTGCTGAGGGTGTGGGTGCCTCTGGGGACAGCAGCCCTGGCTCTCTGCAAGGACCCGAGCCAGGCACAGCCTGGGAGTGACACAGGGCCTGCTGGAAAGTGGTCACTGGAAGAATTTACATTTTGCATCTCACGCTTCCTGACGGGGGTGAGTTACCCCTCCTCCCTCCCCCAACGTGGAAGGGACCTCGTCTCTACCCTGTCACCCATCCACTGGACAGAGGAGAAGCCTGCATCCCAGGGGGAGGCCAGACCTGCCCCGGGCATCCTGCAGCAGGTGACAGCACGTGGACAGAGCCCCCGGCTCCCAGCCAGGCTCCCGCAAGGACCTCCGCCCGCCGCCCTGACCACACGAGCACTTGGAGACCACGCTGTCCAAGAACAAGCCCCCGTCCCCTCCGCCCTCGTGCGGCTCAGCGGGTGCCGGCCACCCCCAGAAACACGTCTCAGAGGTTACAGCTTCTGCAGGTGGCAGGACTAGGGGTCCCCATGCAGACAAGCCGTATGGTCATTTACGGCCTTTCTCAGTAGCAACCTCAGACGCACGGTGTCCTCCAAGCAGCCTGTGGGCAAAGACCTGCAGCAGACGACTTTCAGCAGACGTGACCCTTTCTGGTGACGTCAGTGTGTCCGAGACCCTCCCAGAATATGGACCCCCTTGAAGCAGCAATGCGGTGTGGGGCTTGAGGCCCCAGGCCCAGGGCAGAGACCTGCTCCCATCTACAGGGTGCGTGTGACCTAGGGTACGCAGCCTAACCTCTGGGACCTCGCGGGGCAGCCACCCGATGGAAGCAGGGGGACTGTGGTTACTGACAGCTCCCACCACCTTGCTTTGCAGGCGAGAAGGGAAGCTCCACGGATGGGGGGAGGGGCCCAGGTCACCTGGCCCGAGCTGGCTGCACCTGTCCATAGCGTCACACCATGTGGAAGAAGATGTAGACACCGCCCCTAACTACACCAAGCGGTGGGCCACGGAGGGATCGCCCATCCTCACTGCAGAACCCATGCAGGGGGCCCCCGGGGGCCGAGAGGCCCTCCTTGGGAGGAAGCATCTACTGATTCACCACGAAAGTTGGAAACGTGAACTCAC